ACCCGTACGCACAGTACGGGTAACACCTCCAGTAACACAGTCCTGGGCAACACCTCCAACACTCCCGAGGCACCGCGGACTCGCAGCGATTACAAAGCCTCCATCACCCCTACTCGAGAGTTCGCATTGCTGCCGCTGATTAACGCCGCTGCTCGGCTAACGGGAGCTGAGCCTGCCGAGCATCGAGCGGCCGCATCGAGCGGCCGAGATCGCACGACGCCAGGAGAGCACCGCCCTCTGCCCCCGCCCAAGCACGCAGCGGGCGGGCACGGCACGGACCGGCGCTGCTGTGCCTGTGCCCAGCCCCGTGCCCCGGCCCCACGCAGGCCTTACCTGCAGATCCTGCGGCCGCCGCCCGTCCCGGCCCCGAAGGGAAAGGGGAGCATCGGCCCCGGCGGCGTTTAAATAGCCCGCCGGCGTCACGTGACCGCGCCGCCATTGGCCCCGCGCCGCCCGGGGCACAGGTGCTGAGGGGCGCCTCGTCTCCGTAGTGGCCGGGCACCCTGAGGGGACACCAAGCCATTGAAAGCAGCAATGTGTTGGTGTTCCGTGTGCTCGCCAACCCCGCTCTCTGGCCCTCAGGCTTCCAGCACGTGCTGGCAGCAGAGCTCTGGTTTCACAGCGCTGCGCGGTGAAGCAGCGTTGTGTGGGGAGATGATGGCTGCCTGGCGCTCCGTCAGGGAGAAGCCAAGCCAGCCCGTTTGTCAAAGGCTAAAGCATGTCCGAAAAGGGTAACAAAACTACTCCGTGTGAAAAAAAGGAACCAGATCCCCTCTGAAACTGTCTGAAAGCAGAGGGTCTCAAGCCTCATCCAGAGATTAAGTAGAGTTTGAAAAAAACCGAAGTTGTTATGAATTACCACCTGACCATAGAAACTGATAGCATTCATCCATTAAATGTTCCTGTAAAATAGGAAATAACAAAGTACAGAACTCAATTTTTCCACACCTGCCATGCTGCTGGCAGGACTACTCTGGCTTCACCAGCTCTGCTCAGGACTGAAGGCACCAACAGGGTGGTGTTTCCTTGGCACTTACATTTTTGATCTTCCGTCACCATTTCCCTTAACGTACAAATCCCTTATTGTGAGAGTGTGTGGCATTTTTTAGTTATTTAAGGGACAAGATTTAGGGCCGTGTGCAAGAGGAATTCCCTTTTATGGCCTTTTCCCAATACTGAGGCACCACTCAGCCACAAACCCTTTTATCTAACCTTGTTGGTACTTGAGTTTCCATACACAAAATGGCACAGCTCTCACGTTTGGCTGTGCTGCCGGCACTCAGCCACCCGTGTGTGCCAGCACAGGTCTGCCTGGTGTCTGGGCTATGCTCACAGACCCTGCCAGTGCTCACAGAGGCTTTTGCTGCCCATTCTGTTTGCTGGGCAGATTCCGTGGCACAAAGACTGCGGTGGCTTAGGGGCACACAGTCGAAAGGGGCTCCCTGACCTGCAGGGTCCTGGCTCCAAAGCTTTTTGTTAAAAATGCCAGAAATGTCTCCTCTAGACAAGTCCAAACATCATCACACAGTGGGGGAGACACACTGCCTTGTGCCCAAATGTGCTGTATTTTCACACAAATGAAGCAGTAATAATAGAGTCCTGGGGCTAATAACATCCCTATAAAAGCAGTGGCTTTCCTAAATAAAGCTCCCAGGCTAGCCTGGTGTAATATCATGTCTCAGTCTGCGGAAAAGGGTAGAAAACAAACCTTAATACCTGCTCATGATCTGATGTGGAGACAATTCCCATTTGGCTGCATATCTGTGCTTGGCTTTATGCTAAGTGGATTAGCAAAACACCAACCAAACACATCTGAATTTCATGCTCTTTGGTTTTCCTGTCAGCTTACTAACACACGTTCTCCACAGAATTCAGATTTTCCTCTTGTGTGAAAAACATAATACATCAAGTGCAGATTACTCTGTATACCTTGCCAAAATCCTACCTGAAACTAAAGCCAAACTACAATGCTGCAGAGGTTAGTAGAAATACTGTTACAAAGCCAAAAAGAATATCAAAATAAATAAATAAATAAATCTTCCTGATCTCCCATGGGTACCTTAGAAGAAACATGGAGGCCTGAGATTAACATGGTGTAAACACAGTGCAAATAAACCTTGTGATTTTCAGCCTTCTACGGTAGTTCTGCAGACATGCAAGAACAGCAGGAAACTAAACATTAATAGGATAGGCTAAGGGACCAAAGATTTTCTTAGAGAGGGCATTGTTTGTGAGAAAAAGCTTCCTTTCCACACCCTTTATCTTTTAATTAAGTTGCTTTAATTATATTCATCTGCTGGATTTGAATGCCATTATTTATCCGTAGTCCATCACTCTAAATACAAACCATCTGGCCCATCTTTGTGACAAGACTTTCTCCAGAAGTGTTGGGGATGGTCCAGCCTGCCTAGCAGCACAGTCAGCCAGACCTTTCCTTGGAGTAAAGAGTGGCCCTCCAGTACCCCCTTACAATGAAAGGATGGATAAGGAAGTAGTCACCTGTACTTGAATTTGGCACCTGTTCTTTACCTGACAGAACACACGTGCAGGGAGCAGGTGATGGATGAGCCAGCAGATCAGTAGATGTCCCAGTCTCATGTCCCAGCACCTGGATGCCTTACAGAAGCACCAGTCTCAGGAACTTCTGGACATTGAGTGCTTCTAACCAAAATCTTCACTATTCTGTTGATTTGTTCAACCACAGTTTAGGAAAGCACCAAGGGAATTTCATTTGAATGCCTGGGTTGACAACCCTTTCCACAGCAGACTTTGAATTTGGCATACATTTCCCAGCTAGAAAAAGTGCTGCTGTTTCTAGAGGGTTTTTTTTTTTAACTATTCCTAAGCAATTTAGAGGTACTTTGTTGGTATTTGCACTGGGAATTATTAAATCTTTGTGTAGAAATAGTATTCTCTTCCAGCAGGTTTGTGTTCAAACTACAGTGTACTGAGCTTAGGTTTGGTCACCATATTCAGAGAAAAGACATTCAGGTGCTACAGATTTACTAATAAGGATTGACCACTGGGCTGACCTCTGAATGAATCAGTGTATTACATGAGATTGTTTCACTGGCACAAATATTAGTCAGAGATTACTTTCTGGTAATTCCCTGGTAGAGGATGAATGATGTCCAGTGTCATCCCATTTAGACTTGTGTTTTCCTTGCTCTGTCTTGAGGGGCACACGTTTGAGGGACTACATGTGATGTACCACAACAAAATCTGCTAATAGCTGACTTTGGACCTATAGACTTCTTTTATTAGAATTACAAAAGCAAACTAAGTGACATAACTTGAAAGAAACTCTCTATGGCAACTTTTAAAAATTTCGAAATATGCTTCTTTTGGACAACATGCTATCTTTAGAAGACCACATTTTTGGAGAGGAAGAAGAGAGTGCAGCTGTCAGACTTCAAAGCATTTCTAATATTTGGGACGAGGGATTGCATTAGGAAGCCTGATGATCATGAAATGCTTCAAGAATGTTGTTTCCTCTTCTCTTGTAATCCCTGCTTGTTTCTTTCAAAAAGCTTTCCCTTCAGCTGTTTACAATAACATAGTGGCACTGAAAAAAAAAGCTCAATTAGGGGTTGCCTATTCCTGAGTTGCTTTCATGTGTTTGTATTCATCATGGGCATCACTAAGCACCTTTTTCCTCCCTTGCCTCGTTATTGTTATCTCTTTATTCTTCCTTCTGTTCTTTTTCTTACTAATTAGACACCTTTCACCTCCCAAGTTACAGAACTAAAGTGTTGTTTAACAGCATCTCATAATTCACTCGGGATGTGTTAAATCCATGGCCATTCCATACATTTTGTGGAGTACCTGGGTAAGGTGAATGGGCTCCCAGGCTCAGAAATGTGTGAATCTTGGACCATGCTCCTTTTGCTGAGAAGGGCAGAATCAAGGAGTACAACACTGGCAGCATGCAGAGGCCAGGAACTGTCCTGTGTGCCAGAAAAGGGATTGAAAAACCTCCCAATGGTGCTCTTACTGTAGTCTTGTCAGGATTCAACTTTAGATCCTGCCAACTGTTTTAGGATAACTGGGAGAACTCAGTCACAGTTGCTTCCTAGGCATTAGAGGAATTAATACAATCTTTAATAATCTATGCAAAAATAAGGCTCCAAGGTTTTATCCAGCACACATGCTAAGCACTGGATCAGGACTCATGTTTCAGAACTGTACATCAATCTGCTCTTCTGTATGGTCATCGTTTTAATATTTAATGGGGTTTTGCTGCTCATTTAGGGAATAAACTTTTCTGATTGCTGTCTTCTCCTCCATTGCTTCTCTAATGCTGTGTTGTACCTCAGCCTTTCATTCAGGTAGCCTGGGAGCTGAGTTTTTGAATGACAGCTGCACACTGGGTTTTCTTCAAGGTTTAGCTCTACAACCCTTAATTGTGCCTGCAAGACCGAATTCGTTCCTGTGTGCTTTTTTAAGGTATCATACAGATTAAGAGCAGCTCTCATTTTCCATTCACTTGCTTCCCATTGGGAGAGTGTGCACAAATATTTTTTATTCATTGATGCTGAGATCATGTCTATGAGGAAAATACGTGCTTCATGCACGACTCACCCTAATTTCAACTGACATAGCTGCCTCCCCAGGCATTTCACAAACTGCAGCCTCATGCAGTTTAGGAGACACTTCACCAAAGCAAGACAAAGAACCATGCACATGCAAACATAAATAAGTGGAAACTTTGAAGGATTTTGTAGAATCTAATTAAACACAAAAATTAATTTATTATTACAGACTCTTTTGATAGATGATCAAACCAAATAGACAGAATGAAAACGATGCCACAAAACACATTGTTCTGACACGGTGTTAGTAAGAACAGAATTCTAGTCTCTTAAACTCTCCTTTAACTGAGAAATCAAGAAATCCCAGGGTTAGATGTGGATGAAACATTTTACATATACAAGCCTTTTGAATTAAGTCTTCCTTAATTTCCATCAAGAAGTTCAACTTTGAATTGCTACCCTTAGGGATATAGATTTAGGTTTGGGAACATCTGCTTTCATTAGTTCAAGTGAGTGCTGCCTGCAAAGAAACATGAAAATCCCAGAGGAAAGAACATCATCCACTGATTAGTCCCAACTGTAGTTTAGTGTAGGTGAGGGAACTTGTGCACTTGTGGGCTTCAAAGCCAGCAGTTTCCTTCAGTTCAGACTTCACCAGTTCACACTCCTTCCATGATCACTCCTTTAGAACGGACAGAAAGGGAAGCGCCATCAGACACAGCTCAATTTCAAGTCAAAACAAATCAGTTCCCTTGGAGAACAGTATCCCATGAGAATTAGCCTATGTAAACCACCCATGAGCTTCCTCTCTTTCCCATTTAAACTAAACCTATCTCTTCACTCTGAATTCCTGTCCTAAATCACATCCTCATCATTTTTTGCACCATTTTCACTTGGCAGTTCTTATGGCATTGACTTATTTTGCTGCCCATCATGCCCAGGTGCAAGAGCTGCTCTATTGTACTGATGAAATGCCACTGGTGGTAGCCTGCCAGTGAAACAGAATAGACTGGGCCTTTAAAATAATTCCTGGGATGCTTCCAAGGATGAAATTGTATGTTTTGGCTCTTTTTCCTGATACTACCTACAAGCCTATAGATTGTCATGATTTTTCAGTGAAACCATTCAGGACTGGAAAATAAACTGAGACACCAATTGCTCATCCCCCTAGAAAAATGAACAGTCCTTCTGGCTGAGTTTACTTCCCTGGAGTTCAGCCAGACAGAAAGAGATAAAAGACTTTTATCCCTCTGCTAATAGTTCTGCCCACTTCTACTTTCATACTGCTTGAAGAAGCAGAGAACTGCCTCTCACAGTGGTAGATTAGAGCTAATGAAAAAAATGGAGAAAAAATAAAAAGGTTAAGCAAGCAACAACTGAAAAATATAATTGTATTGATAATGAAAATAATTATGTTAGTAATTGTACCTTGCGCTGCTTTTTTACATTTCGTATTATCAACTTTACCTAAACTTTAATCGGATTAGTGTTGTCATCTACATATTTTAAATGCCAAAAAGGCTTTAATGAAATAGTCCCAGATTAACCAGTTGGTGGGAAAAAAACATCCACAGTTCATAGAACTACCAGAATACACTAAAGGCACAAATGCAAATACACTCAAGAGAGAAGCAAGCAAATGAGTTAAGAAAACCAATTCCTTTTACAGAGGAAAATACATTTTTTAATGAAGTGCAAATCTAAGTACTTCTAATCTTCTACAGCCTTTGTTGTCAAAGAGATCAGGTTCTGAAATCATGTCTGCTTTGCATTACAAATGCAAGCAGTGCTTTCCAACAGAGGGGGTGCCAGCCAGCACAGCTTCTCCCCCAGTCCTTGGGCATGGTCAGCGGAGGTGCCCGCGAGCGGGGCTGGGGCCGCACGTCCCTGGCTTGGCTCGGGCTGGGACTGTGGTGCTGCTTCCCTGCGGCACAGCCCAGGCCAGGCACTTCTCCCTCAGCTGCAGCAGGCTTCGTCTCAGGAACTGAAGAGGCGTTTTCTTGCAGTTAAAAACAAATCTGAATTACACAAGCAGAATGAGGGAGCACTTTTATTATAGGAAGCAACAAATGAAAGAGTAGTCCAAAGTGTCCAGGGCTTGTGGTGAGAGAGGAGATGTTCTGTGCATAGTAAACACTGGATTTACTGAAATTAATCCCAACCACTTGTGTGGGGAAATGAGTTTTAAATTATGTTTCCACATCTGTTCCCTAAGGTTTCAAATGGCTTTTTCAAAGGAAATGGCTTGACTTTGAATTTTCTTCCTAAAATAATTTGGTGTCAGATTTAGCTACTCATTACATATGAAATTCAAGATAAGGAGGTCAGCTTCTGGTGGATACCTCTCTGCAGCAGCAAGTGGGGTTCCTGAAAAGAGATAGTTTTATTAGGATGGTGCTAGGAAATTTAGCTTTTTGCTGATGGAAACAGAAAAATATATAGGATGTACTTTGAAACATAGACATTAAAAAGCCCCTTTTGCCTTTGTCATTAAAAACATCATGCCAGATTCATAAAAATCCATTTTAGTTTATGCTTCCTACATTACTAAAAGGAAATAGTAGTTCTAAGCTTTATCCCATGGGAGCTTGCATAAAAGAGAAATTTGACTTTGCCAAAGTAGCATCTTCTGTCTTCTCTGCATAATGCATTCAGTTCAGCTGCACACTGTTCTTTCTCCTGGCAGTCAGCATATGCAACAGTGTGTTTATGCAAGTTTGACCTTCCTGTTCTTCCCTGTCTCATTTCTGTTTGCATGAGCACTGTCAGCTGATAAAGTGAAGTACATTTTTAAGGTCTCTCTATTTTGAAAAGCCTTGAAAAGAAGACATCTTTTTCTCTGGCACAAAGCTGTTAAAAATAGACCAGACAAACCTTCCCAGCACAATCATAAACCAACAGTTAAAGCCCTTTGTTCACGTGGGTGAATAGAGTACAGTACACTTGTGCTGTGCCCAGCAAAACCTCTGTGAAACACAAACTAAGTTAATAATCCTGCCCTCTCTGCCAGCTGGATAAGAGATGGCTCTGTATGGACCCTAAGCCTTGAACCTTTCAAGGACAACAGTTACCATAAACCCTACAAAATTATCCTTCGCTAATTTTCCTTCTTTTCCTCTTTAAAAGAAGGAAATAGTTGCTCTACACAGAGCTGATGCTATGCTCCTACATGTTTAGCCACCCTATGGCTCATTTGATTTTAATCTCATTTGATTTTATCAGGGTTTCAATTTTTTTTTTCTTTAATCTACACCTGAATGTCCCTTTCCCCTAATAAAGTTATTCCCATTAATTAGCTGAAAAATTAGAATTAATTAATTTCCACCAACTAACATTACTGTAATATTGGCTTCACAGTTGTCTTTTCAAAAGCATAATCAGTGCAACTCAATTAAATTAGCTAAACAAATAATGGGGATTTTTTTTCTGACGTTTGAGCCAAAAAATCAGCTGGTAATCAGTTCTGAAAGGAAAAGCCCAGCTGTAGCTTTTTCTAAAAATCAACATGAAATAATGAGAAAGGTTTAATTTCCATGTTCACATAAATATAGTTAAATGTTAATGTTTCCTAAAGACAAAAATATATTGAAAAAAGATCACTTTCCCTGCAGAGTGACTCATAGGAATATAAGGATAGGGCCATTTCATCAAATCAGCTGGTTTTCAGGTTGTGTCATTTCTTTGAAGTATATTTTAAAGATGGATAGAATAGTCAATACTACAAAAAATACAGGACATTACAAATGCCAAGGCCAGTTTTTCCTAACTGGAGATTATTGATTTAATTGAACCTCCAAACCCAGCAGTGCTAGTCTCTTAACACTGTCAGTTATGGGAACCTATTATCAGTAGCTTATGGCTTTGCCACATTTTACATATACCAAGGAAAACTCTTCTGTCATTTATAGGAAGATTCTGGGGAGCAAGGTCATAGGTTAATCTGTAATACAAGTAATTTAAACCTACTTAATTGGGAAATTTAATATCCCTGTAGTTTGACAAGTGAACTTAAAATACTGTGACCTAAAAAAAGAAAAACAGCAAATAAAAAAAAAAACCAGCTACCAATAAATGACTTTGAGGGCATTATTATGTTTTTCATCCACAGAGAGTCAGAGTGGTGCAGCAAATAAGGCACTGAGGTCACACAATGAATGAGAAAGATGTAAAAAAGTATTTAATAAAGTGAGTGTATGGCATGAGAAGAAAGGTCAAGAGCAGGAAACGAGGCAGGAATCTGGTGGAAGAATAAAGCAAATTGATTTAAATGGTGAGTTAAATGGATGCAGTGATAATTTTGGTACTCCCTAAACTTTTAGTAAATTCATTTTACATTATTTTATTTCCCCTATCATAATAATGTCAGCAGTGCTATTTTCTGTTCCACAGATTTGCTTTGTACAAGAAACACATTATATGCAGACAGTTTTTAACAAATAGGTCAAAGAAACTATAACAACAAAGTTATAATCAACAGATGCTGTAATTATATTGTACTTCATGGATAATAAATCACTCTTAGAAATGCTTCAGCATATATATTTAATTTTTTCAACTCATGCATTTACTGTTCTTGCAGCACTCTGCTCACCAGGTTTTCTTTGTTAATGGAGAGTGTGAATAGGAAAAAAAAGATGAAAAAGCATAGCTGAATTATTCATGCTAATGATTTCACACCTAAATATTATGTGAAAAATACTAACTATGCTGTTAAAATAAAAGGTAGCTTGACTTACTAAATGATTCTGAGAATGTTTCACCTGTGAAAAGACTTTCTGTACATATTACTTGATGCAATATAATTGAATATTGCAAAAGTTTAATTCTAAGGTCTTGGGTATTGGAAGGCATTGGCAGGCAGTGGGTTTGCATTTATATTTCCCTAGGGGATGTGGACAGCCATGCAGAGATCCGTAAAGAGAAGGCAGACTAATGCCAGGTAATCTGAATCTCCCCTGGAGAATTTTGGGAAAGTTACAAATCCACAAAAAGAACAGGAAAGTACTTGCCTGGAGGACCTGGCACAAGGTAGCAATTTAGAGGACCTGCACTTAAAATCCAGTCTGGGGCCCAGCCTCATAAGCACATGACCCACCTGAAACTGCATAGAACAAAACACCTGGATTTCAGCACCAGAATGGCAGTTTCATGTGAATGATCTTAATAACACCTGTGAAAAAGTTTTATTTATTTCTCATTGCAGCTGGAAGCTTAAAAGATGAGTGGGTTTAGAGCATAAAATCACCTCCAGAGAGGATGTCAATATACAGCACAGAGCATTTTGTGGGGTTTTTATGTTGTCCAGACCTCTGTTTCTTTTAACACAGCTCTTTCTACAGGAAAAGACATCCCTGCTCTGTTAGTGGTGGTGATCAAAATGTCCTGCAAGTGCAGTCTTGCTCCCTGCCCCCTGTTCTTAAGGTGGGGTGGGTCCCATAGTATGAAGCTGAAACTAATGACGGGGTCCCTCCAGGTGGGGCTTTGGTCCCAGTGTAGCACCACAGCTCCTCACCAGCTCTTTTACACCACACTGTCAGGAGGCTGAAGTGCTGTCACTGTCCTGATGGCATCTGGAACCAAGGCAGCACCACAGACTCAGGGCTGAAATGGAGGCAATGCTGGGTCTGTGCTCTCCTCTGTTTTATCTTCTTTCCCTTTGCTGAATCCTGGAACACAGATCGTATCATGTGCTTTGGCTTTTGGCAAAATGTAGCTGAACTATTTTCAGCCTCAAAAAAATTTACGTTTTCAATGACAAATTTAAACTAATTGCTGGTTTTGCTGTTGCTTCAGAGTCTTGTTTTTTGTTTGATCAGTTCAAATATTTATTCGTGAGTGCCACTCAGGAAGCAATTTAGCCCATCATCTACTCTACAGCTGAGTGCCACAAATGTGGTTTTGAGCCAGAGGTTATCACCACAGAGTAAGTAACAAGCACAAGTGGTGATTTGGCTCAGGCTGAGCTCTTCCTGGGATGTTGGCTCTTGCTCAAGGAGCAATAATTTGGCATCCCATGAAAAGGGCAGCCTTATCTTACAACTACAGGACAGAGACACGTACTTAGAACTCTACTTCTGTTTCAGGCCTGGAGACTGACTAAACTGCAGGTACAGGCACAGAACTGAGATGATTACAGACTTCTCATCTCTGTAGATAAAACTGAGTTTTAAAACTCAGGTGGAATGGGAGAAAAACAAAGTAAGGACTGGAAGAAAAGAAACTTCATATTTAAAACAAAGCTTTGGTTAAATGATGAATTATAAAGGCGAGTGACTGAATCTTCTGCTGCCTTAACATTTGACTCATCCTCCATTGCAGATCATCACAGACCCTTCTGGGAACTTTGCTGGACATCTGTGTGGGCCTTGTGTTTGTGTGAGGTTTGGATCCATGCTCCAGAGCAAACCTTCAGCCTTTTAAGCAATTAGACTCCTGCTTATGTTCCTGCATACTAAAACCTAAAGGCTGTTTTCCTTTCATTGGTACTCAAACAGGCTGCTTCTCCTAGCACTGAGAGCTTGCCTTAGTGAGAAACATCTGAGGGAAAATAAACTTGGTACTTAGCTCACACATGGGGCTGAAGGACAGCAGGAGACCATAACCATCTCACTGGAAAAATAAAGTAACACCATTTGAACAATAGCAACCTCTATAGGCTCCTCTAATTCATGGGAGATACACATATATGTGCCATTTGAGTTTGGAAAAAAATTCTTCAGTCTGAAGTAGGAGAAATTTAGCTCTTGCAGTGAAAAATACCATCAATTTTGTTGTGATTGAAAATGAAAGAACATTTCTTCCTTATGTTTCATTTTGATGTTCTTTCTTGTATTGTTTTTTAATAGAAGGTTCAATATGCATGAAAGTGAAAAGAAAAAAGACCTGAATTTTAGTCCTTTTTTCCTGCTAGATTTAAAAGTGAAAAAAAATTAAATTTCCTCAGACAGACTCCGGTCCTTTTTTTCTTTGCCTCATTGTGTATAGCATGTGTTTGTGAAAAGGAGAAAGAAATCCTATCTGAGACATCTCAACTGAAAATTTGGGTGTGTAATTGGAAAGTTATGATTTTTTTTTAAATTTCTACATCACAAAAAAACATGTTTACATATTATTGTATCTGACATGAGAGAGACTAAAATGAGGCAGGCCTCGCTGGGGCTTCTCATTCAACAATCTAGGAGAGGAAACAACGGTGACTTCTGAGCTGCAGGCAATGTCACGCTGTAGGAGAGCAGTTCCATGGCAGCAGCTTTCCTGCACCTGTGACAAAATGCAGAGCACAGGGTTGTTTTGCTAGAAAAGGGATCAATAATTCAGACTTTGATTACTTAAAAATAATATAGGAGGGGAAAGAATATAGAGGGGGG